AAGAATTTCAAATATCTGAAAAATAAAATCTTTTATATGTATATATAATAGTAGAAAAATGTTTATAAAAACTAACAAATACATTTTTCTTTATTTCTAATTTTTTTATCTGACATACAATTATCATTTATTTGCTTACAATCTGACTATCAAGAAAAAAAAACTAATCTGACAAAAAAATAATTCAGTCAATATCTATGAAAATATATATATAGAGTAAACACACATAGGTTTCATTGTTTTCATTTTACGAAAAAAAAATATCTGAGTTAAAATCCTCCACGTTTTCGTTTAGCTATTGCATTTTTTCGAGCAAAAAATGATGCTGGTCGTTTTTTACTTTTAACAAATCGATTATAATGACCATTTGTTTTCTTTCCTTGTTTATTTACTTTAATAAAACCATCAGCATCGGTTGAAAAATCAATATCTTCTTGTTCTTCATCACTTAAAGTTAATTTTCGTTTTGATGTTGTTGTTTGTAATAATGCTTTACGAGCATTTTCTTCTTTACGTTTTATTTCATCAAGTTCTTTACCAAAACGTTGTGTTATAGCTAATAAACGATGAAGTTCATGACGTTTATAACGTTCTTCAGTTATTTCATTAACATCTTTAATCATCGCTTCTTTTGTTCGACTAAAAAAAAAGCCAAAAGAAAATGTGGAGACATTTTGAATTTTATTAGAGAAAAATCTTACGGCATTAATTTAACCATTTCTTTAATAGCACGTTCAGGAATAATCATTGCATGTGAATTTTGACCAAATATTGATTTGAGTTCTTTTTTAAGTTCCTTTAAACACTGTTCATTTAATTGTTCAACTGGTGTTTGTTGTTTACGTTTTTCATCATTTGTTATATTGGATTGTTCTGTACGTATTGTTAATTCAATTGGATTCATGAATCTATTCGATTGATTTGATAAAGCCATATGAGCTTTAGGACCTAAACGTAAATAGGCTGCTGAAGATTCGAACGATTGCTGTTGATGTGTAACTATTTCTTGAAGTAGATAACCTTCAAGAATTAAACGACATACAAGACGTTCAAGATCTAAATAAATAATAAAAATATAAATTTAAGAAGGACAGTTGAACATAATATTAATATATGATATGTAAAATGTGTTTTAATAGAAGTCGCTATCTTTGTAAGAAAATTACTACTTTAAGAAATATTCAGTAACCTACATATGTTTGGTATGTCTATTTTTCGCTCTCTTCTCTATGCAAACATGTTTCTATACAAAATCTAATGATTCTTATTCTTTAAACAATTTCACTTGGTAGATACTAACTAGAAGACATCAATTTCATTGTTCTACACTTTTTTTCAATTAGTATGTCAAGTAAAGAAGTGTTCTTTTTATCTATACTACGTATTAAAGTTATCACATATTTGTGTGACCATTTAATGTGTAGTTCATAAACAAGAAAGAAAAATGACGCGCCTAATTTATTTTAGTTTGTGAAGAGAATTTTACTATTTAATCCACTATGTTAAGTAATTTTCTACTGTTTTTGTTTTTGCTCGTTAATATTTGTAATACTCACTACAAATTTCTTGAAATATGACTTAGTAAGAATGGATTTTTACTAAAATACTCATATATTAAAGAAATATCTATGTCACATTATGTCGTAATAGAAAAATACTTTCATAACAAAAATAATATTCAATAAGGATACGTTCGTTTTGACTCAAACTAAAAAGTATTTTATACTATCAATCTATTATCAAAGTTAGAACTTGACATTCAATCAGATCACCAGTGAAAATAGAACGCTTTCAAATTATTCGAACTAAAAGAAAGTAAAGTATAATCTTATTTGCTATGATAAACTTACCAACTCTACTCAGTTGATTACATGAATTGTAAGCAGCTAGATTATTATGACCAGCATCTCGAATACCTTTTGTATTCGCACCACGAAGTATATCCAAAGCAGCTGGTAATGTAATATTTTTATGTGAAAATTCCGAAACTAATTTAATAATTTCGATACTCATTTGTGTACAATTAATTGATGTTGTTTTTAATACTTGTCGACAATTATCACATACAGTTCGTTTCATTCGTTTACATTCACTTGATGGAAATAATTCACCAAAATATTCCAATAATCTAAGAAAAAAGATGTCAATGAAATGTTTTTTTCTTTATTAAACGATTTCTTTTATTCTTACTGTGTTCGTCGACAGGTTACATTATTTAAACAATAATCATAAACACGATTGAGATTATCAACACGAACTTTTTTTGCTTCTTTCGTTGATGTCTGACCATCATCATCTAAACGAAAATAATTATGAACAAATTAAACACTAAATTTTATATTATATTATAGATAGACAAGATAAACTTTTAGAAAGTAATCTATTTAAAAGTATTTGATTACAATAAACGATTAAAGTTTCATCCGAAGCTGATTTTATATATGTATAACAATAGAATTGAAAAATAATAATTACTTACTTAGAATAAGTCGTTTCATTTTAACTAAATCTTGATAGCAAAAAAATAGATAACAATATGATATTTCACCATCACGTCCAGCTCGACCTGATTCTTGATAATATCCCTAGAAAATGATATCGATATGTTTTTACAAAAAAAAACCCAAATAAGCTTTATACAAACTTCAATCGATTTTGGCATAGAAAGATGAATAACAAAACGAACATTTGGTTTATCAATACCCATTCCAAAAGCAATAGTTGCACAAATAACCTATATTAAATAAAAATGGAATTCTTTTTCAACCAAATTCCTTTTTTCTTGTTCGTTTTACTTGACAGTCATCATTTGCCCATTGATTTTGTACAAGTTGTCGTTTTGAATCACTTAATCCAGCATGATAAGGTAATGCATTTATTTTATATGCTGATAAATATTTAGCTGCAATTAAAAAGAAATAATGCAAAAAAAGATGAGAGAGAGGGAGGGATTTATATACCTGTTTTATCACATTCAGCACGTGAAAAACAGTAAACAATTCCACATTTATCATTATAATGGCTAATAATTAAATTAGCTACTTTTTTTAATGCTGTATCTGTTGTGCCTTTTAATGCACATTCATAAATTAAATTGGAACGATTAAATGATTGTATAAATAATTTACATTGATTTATATTAATTTTCATTTGTTGTAATATATCTTTTTGAACACGTGGTGTAGCTGTTGCTGTTAGTAAAATTACATTGATACCAGGATATTTAACACGTAATTGACCTAAAAGAAAAAATCATCATAAGAAAACTACAATCTCAAATTCTTGAGGATCGATCTTCTATTCTGATCCAGTCATTACGCAATTCCAACTACTACTGATTTGAAACTATTCAAAAAAAGTTGTATTCGAAAATACTCGCTCTAATATTTTTAATGATCGATAAATAGAAGAAAAAATAGATTACCAAGACTTGCATAATCAGGACGAAAATCATGACCTAAATTAATAATATAAATAAAAATCTTGACTAGTATAAACTTATTTCTTACCCCATTCGGACACACAATGACATTCATCGATAACAAATCTTGCTAAAAGTTTTCGTTCATATAAATTTTTCAGTAATTGAGTTAATTGATCCTATATAAATATAAAATCAAATCATATTTCTCATATTAATTATTTCTTACACTTTTAGCTATTTTTTCCGGTGTAACATAAACAATTTTTAATCCTGGTGTATGTTTATAAAGTTCTCGATAAACTTCATCGACTTCTCTTTGTGATACATCACTTGTTAAAGCTCCACACTCGATACCTAATGATACTAATTTTTGTTTTTGATCATATATAAGTGAACGTAATGGTGATATAATAAATGTGACACCTTTATCCATGACTGCTGGTAATTGATAACATAAAGATTTTCCTCCACCTAAAATTAAAAATTATTGTATTATTGATTTATATCTTTCAAAACAAACCAGTTGGCATAAGAACAAAACAATCATGATGTAATAATGCAGCATTTATTGCCTCTAATTGATTTGAACGAAACTAAAGAAATATATTTTTGAAATTAATTTCTATTTTTATATTTAAATTTTAAATACTTGTTTTAAACCAAATATATTATCAAAGACTTCGAACAATGTTTGTGTATGTGGATATGTATGATCACTTGAAAATTCAGCTGCATCATCTTTAATATCTGATAACCATTGAACTTTATATGGATTTGGTTTAATATCAATAAGATTTTCTTCATCACTTTCATCACCTTCTTCAGTATCATCATCATAAATTGAATTCATTGTATCCATATTTGTTAGTTCTAATGATTCTTCTTCATTCCATTCATCAAATAATTGATTTTGATCAAAATCAGCAAAATCATCATCTTTAACTGTTGTTTTAGATAGAAAATTCTCTTTTTCTATTTTTGCACATTGTATACAACCATTTTGATTATTTTTAAATATAAAACATTGTAAACACATTGTATGACCACATGAATCTTCACTGATGGGTCGACGAGATATTGGATCATAAGGTTGAGTACATAATGGACACAGAGATGAAGAAGAGGCGGCTTCTATTTTTTTTGGAAGAGATGGTGATGCTGATGTTATTGATGTTCGAAATTTATTGATAGGAGGAGAAGTTGTTTTAGGTTCAGATTTAGTATCGAAAAAAGATGATATAGATGTTTGAAGTTTATTGGTAGAAGGAGAAATTGTTTTAGGTTCGAATTTAGCATTGAGAAAAGATGATATAGATGTTTGAGTTTTTTTAATAACTGAAGGTGATCCATTTTTCTTAATAACTGACGATGACTCGGTTGTTTGAATAACTGAAGATGATTCTGTTTTTGATGTTGCTTTTGCAGAATTCTAAAAATAAATGATTTTATTCAATGTCTTCAACCTGTTTTTTTAATAAGAACAAATCATTCTTAAATCAATTTAATTTAGAATTTCTTGATTAATGCAGATTCACTATAAGGAAATAATTAAACTTTATAATACTTGATTCCTTCATATCTGACTATTTTTCTTTCCAAGAAAAGAATGAATGCAAGATTCTCACGATTGAGTAAGTCAAAATTCTTTTGAGATCAGTATCTGATATTATATTCGCTCGTCGTTTGTATCGTTAGTCTATAACTAGAAGTGTTAGCCGTGCGGTTAAACTAAAAAGAATTAAAACAGCTGTCGTCGCTACCGATCAACCAAAAAAGAATTAAAGCCGCCGCCGTGACAGCAGAAATTTTTAAAATCAAAGCCGCCGTGCCGCTGACACCTTTCTTAAATATTGATCTTATTATTTATATATTCCTTAATGCTTCATCGATCAAAATTTCCATTTAATTGTTTAAAACAATTCGTTTAATTTGTTTATGTGTACTATTATATATGCATATATAATAAGAGACAAGCATTTTAGATTTTGATCAACAAAAA